AGAGCGAATTGCATCCGCGTCTCCATATCAGCGGTCGTTTTCGATTTCCCTGACCTAATCTTAAACACGGCGCTTACCGACTACGTCACGGCTTTCAGCCCGCCCTCTGTTCGTTGATTGGCCAGGCTGTTTTCAGGCCGGTGGAAAACAGAAAGATAGGCTGCTATCTCAGACTGACTACAGGAGCGAAATGAAATTAGCGGAAGTAGGAAGTCTGACGTAGTCAGGCTACTGTATCTCAGGCAAAATTACTAAATATGCAGCGCAAGTTATATATTTCTAACTCCAAACAATTAGCCACTGAACCAGCTTATAAAATCTTCTTCAAGGCTGTGCTGGTTGCATTTGAGGTACAGGTCATGGGGTTTCTCAGATTTCGCTTGAGACCGGTATAAGCATTAGCCTCGATAGTAGTCGTGTCTCCTTCATTGCGTATTTTTATATTTTGAATATATTCCTCCACTGCATACTGTAACCTAGCCTGGGAAAACCCAGACAACTTCCGGCAAATTTAGATTTGCTCTGAAAGTTAGTCTGGCAAAGAGCTCATTCAAGCCCATTTCCAATCCGTCGAAATCGAGGCACCAATCAGAAACGTTGGGGGCGGGCTTTACACGATGACGACAGCGCTGGGATTTTGAAGCAGATTATTTTGTAGCCTACATTACAAAGATGGATGCCGCCGTCGAACATCACTCGTTCGAATTAGCTATCGCGTCTGTTTTAAGCGATTTGAACGTTTCCTTTTTGTTAAAAACCGAGCAAAGAACAACACTTCCTCCGCCGGCCGCCGCTCTGCATACGTCATCTCCTTCATCGCTCTGATTGGTTTTAGGTCTACCCGCGACGTCCGTTGGTGACGCCCCTCTGGAAATGATTTGTCTATGATGCTTTGCCAGACCATAACTCAGTTACAACTGAGAATGGTCTGGTTTTAACCAGGCTAACTGTAACCCATTTTGCCTCGATCTGGAGGATATCGCTGAGGTATTGCTCCAAAAAAGGTCACTGACACGCACGGGTATACCTCTTACCGTCATGGCAATCTGTCGCGCCGGTCATGTTTGACCATTTGTTTGACGGGCGTAGTAACAATAACTAGGGGGCGTGGCTTTTGCGAATGGTCAATTCAATTCAAATTCAAATTCATGAATTAAATGGAGGCCAATTCTGAAATTTGCACAAGCCTGCACTGTAGGCTACTTGTTTTAGTACCAAATGAATGTGCTAATTATCAGTTCTTGTTTATTTATTTATTTAAATAATAAAAATAAACTCACCATGTTCATGGCCAAATTACAGCTGTGCTAATATTCGGTAAAACAACACTCTTGCTAGGGTGATTGGTTAAAATATTAACTAATCTATATTACATTTTTTAGCTAATACATAATTGCATGCAGGTTACCATAATAATTGTGTAATTGTGTTATTAAAATTTGCTGCCTTTATTTACATTTTCATTACATTTCTACACCAATTTCATAAAATGCTGATAACACAACACAAATTTCTAAATAAATAAATACATACATCGATAAATAAATAACCGATGTCAGCGACAAAATTACCGGTAACAGTGACAAATGTACATATCAAAGATGGCGGCCTCCATAACAACGGCGCGAGTTCATCTGTCAAATCTTGATAAACGGAAAGCGGCTTTGAATGCATTTTACGGAGTTTGAAGTGCAGCATTTGGACCACAAAACTGACGGGAGAAGCTCCAGTGAAAGACTGGATCTGAAACCTTGTGATGACCTTCTGTAACCTTCTGTAAGTTACCGAAACTGAAAGATGCAACCGATGCAACACATCAGATTCTCCCACCGTATGACTTGAAAGACAACAAACTTAATTTATACTAAAGGTACACTATGTACATTTTTGATCAAAATTAACATAATTTAAGGTACTTTTACCGAGTCAATACATCACAAATTCTTCTTCTAAAACGTGTTTTTGTCTTAGGGGCAGTTCACATATCGCGTCTTTTGCGCGCTCAAGTTCGTTATTTCAAATGTAGGCGCGCGGCAAGGAGCACTCAACTTTTCAGAATGCTGCAAGCGCACCGCAGGTCATGTGACAAAAACCAACCGATCGATCAGCTTCGGCCTTTCCGTCGAAACAACATCGAAAGCGGCGGGTTTTTATATCTCATCTCTATAAATATATCTTGTAGTAAAGCTGATACTTCGTCATGGAGAGCTCGGTTCATGGTTGCATAGCGACGACAGACGCCATGGGAGCGCAAGCGCTTGTGGAAAGCATGGTGGAAAGGAGAAAGCGGCGTAAATGGTCTGAAAGGATACCCAAAATCTACCATTTTAAGGCTGACATGAAGATTTACTTTGAAACATCAAACATTGCAAGGACTTTAAAACCACAAAGCAACTAGAACTACGGACATCTACAAATAATTAATGGCCTCTTCTTTATTTTGATTATACACGTAAGTTATATAGGCTCTTTCCGTTGTTTTCTATTCTTTTTTCTTCTTTTCCCCTTAATGTGTGAATCGGTTTTCTTTAATATTTTTGATATGAATGTTACCTTTAATGTTCTTCATGGCTTATGATGCTATGGAATAATTCAGAGTATTATATGTGAAACATTTGTATCTATTGTATTATTACATGTAAAAAAAAAAAGAAGGAGAAAGCAGCACGGCCGACGCGATATGTGAACGGCCCCTTACCCTGATTTATATGGTAAGCGTATGGTCGGGCGTGATGGGTTGAGAAACTGCGTATGTCACTCGCCCGTGCGTGTTTACAGTCTATGGTTTGCTACATCCATAAATGGAGAAGTTTCTCCTGTTACTTTGAAGCATAGATAAGTATGCATATGCCTTGAAGCGTGTGTGGTGGGAGTGGCATAGGTTAGTTGTCATAATGACAGCGAGGGGGAATCTCGAACCTCCAGGGAAACGCCGCAATTGAACGAACAGAACAGAGGAGAGTCTGCTGGCAAAATGAACAGAGAGAGCTCGTAATAAAACGAGAATCAACATTAGCGTGGCTTTTTCAGAGAGAGAACTGAGGGATTTGAAATGTTGCGGAGATGGTGTTATCTCTCTACAGGTGAGAAAGGTATTTTATTGATAAATTGCCATATGTAGCTCTTTGACTGAGTTCACTGTAAAGCATTAGCCTATGTATTGTAATTTGTGAAGGGTCATTTCGTTGTAGCCCTGTGCTGGAATTTATTTTCAAGTAAGTAAGTAACCATGTCTATTCGATACAGTAGCATCTTCAGCTAGTCAGCTTGAGATCCAAACTGGTTATCTCTTAAGCCTAGTAGTGAATGTTTGATTAGCAGTAAGATAACCCCCCCCCCCCCCCCCCCTCTCTCTCTATTTTTTTTAAAAGAACCATGTAGCCTATATTATTCGCAGCCGAACCACAAACAAAACAATGTTGTTCTAGTTTTAGTTACATACCCCCATTTTCACAGACAAGGCTTAAGCCTAGTCCCAGACTAGAATGCATGTTTGAGCTGTTTTAACTGAAAGCAACTTGACATATCTAAAAGTATGTCAGTGCCATTGTTTTGTCTCAAGATGCGCACCAGTAATGTGAGACGTAAGAGGCATGTTTATAAAAGCTACTTAAATTATTACATTGTTTAAATTAATACATTTTTCCCAAAACTGTGATTTTGTATATACATTTCTGAAATACATAACTTAGACAGTTACCTCTGATAACAGATCACTCTAAATTGTAATGTTCATTTTCTGTAAAGCTGCTTTGAAATTATTTATATTGTGAAAAGCGCTATGCAAATAAATGTGAATTGAATTTAATTAAATAGCCAAATTGAACTAAGGCCTAATCCTGGCTTAATCTAAATCCTGTCTGTGAAACCGGGCTATTGTGTACCTTTAATTGTTAAAGGGATAGTTCACCCAAAAATGAAAATTCTTTCGTTCCAAACCCGTAAGACTTTCGTTCATCTTTGGAGCACAAATGAAGATCTTTTTGATGAAATCTGAGAGATTTATGTCCCTCCATAGACAGCTACGCGACTGAAACTTGGATGCTTCAAAAAGTTCATAAAGAGATTGTAAAAGTAATCCATATGAATTGAGCGGTTTAGTCCGAATTTTCTGAAGAGACACGATCCCTTTATATGATGAACAGATTGAATTTAGGCTTTTACCGAACCTGCTTGATGTGTGAGAACAAACCTCTTGCTGAAGCTCAAAAGTGCTGCACAACACATGAGAATGAACCTCATTGGTTCATCAAGCGAACATGCTTGAGCTTCTGTTTACCACAGCTGATGTGTGAGTTAATGAATGTCTATATGTGAATAAAAGCCTAAATTCAATCCGTTCATCATATAAAGTGATCGTGTCTCTTCAGAACATTTTGGACTAAACCGCTCAATTCATATGGATTAGTTTTACAATCTCTTTTTGAAGCGTCAAAGTGTCAGTTGCGTAGCTGTCAATGGGGGGACAGAAAGCTCTTAGATTTCATCAAAAAGATCTTCATTTGTGTTCCGAAGATGAACGAAAGTCTTACGGGTTTGGAATGACATGAGGGGGAGTAATTACTGACAGAATTTTCATTTTTGGGTGAACTAATCCTTTAATTGTTTTACAACTTAACTGTTTTCTGTATAAACGTACTAGTCTAGATCGACACCTTTGACAGTTGTTCCACGTCTTGCTGCTTTTTCAGCGTCTCACACATGAGCATTGCATTGACGCCATGTTAAGTTAAAAAAAAGTTCTAAAAGTTGTCTTGAGATCATTCCTGCGTTCTTTTTCATCCCGCTTTTAAAACACAAGTACATGTTCTGTGTGAACGGCTCCTAAAATAGTACTGACAACTGTATTCTGATGTGTGCACACATGGCCCTGGTGAAGAGAGGATTTTTAGGACTTATTCATAAAACATTACTTTGTTACACTCGTAGAGTTTGTCAGACTGAAGTTATGATTAACAGTTATGATAATGTGGTCTTTCAGAAGTGTGGAAACAAGCCATGTGCCGTTCTCACATGCACGTCTTCAGACAAGAAAAGAGAAAGACTACAGGTCTCTACAGGTGAGTACTGTTACTACCAAACACACACCTCTTTTCAGATCTAGTTTCAGCATGTCATTTGAGCAAGTTTTTTCGTTATTGCTTCCTCAAACACATTAACCCTTGTGTATTGGTCTTTACAATGCGTAAACAAAAAAGATTGAAGGATCCTGCAATCGAGTACACCTCAAACTAACTTTAAAGTGTTTTTTACATGTTTCAGTATGGACTCCTTGAGTAAATTGAGAATTTGCTAATTTTTTTTGCTTTTATACTTTTAATTTTTTTTTTAAAATACAGTTCAATATATAATATGACATGATATCAGGATCCCGTCAATGAATGACAACAGCATGTTAAATAAAGTTATTTCTACTTAATTAAATTCAGGTTATTTTGTGCTATACTTTACTACGGCAACATCCAATAATCCTGTCATAGCTTGAAGTACAATGTAGTCTTAACATTTCTTTTGAAGATGCTTATTTGGATTTGACAAGCAGATGATTTGACTGAACTATTTGTGTGTTTATTTAGTTTAAATCTTGCCTGCTGTTTTTATTTGTGCAGATGAAGATGCTGCTTTTTTGGTGACGGGTGATGTTTGGTCACCAGTTTTAAAGATCACCGCAGCTCTTGTCTCAGTTGTCTGTCTTAGTTGGATATCTCAAGGAATTTCACCACAGGGGGTATTCAAAGGGATTCACTGAGACGTCTTGTTTTCTCAAACCTGACGCTTTTCTGAAAGTTTTGAAAGTGGGGATATTTTTGGGGAGGGGATGGAGGAATAATGGTGATCCTCCTAGAGGAATTTTTAAATAGTCTTTCTGCTTTTTCAAAGAACTCCAAAACTAGGTGCATTATCAGTTGTAAAGTTGAGCCATGTAAGAGCACGTTTGCTGAAAGACATTTTATTTACGTTCCTGTTTTTGTGAATGAATTCCAACCCGTTTAAGTGAAGTATGTATTAATATCTTCTATACAATCAAGTTCAGTCTGCACCTTTTTTTCAAATCTCTCAATTACAATGTTACTACATGTGCACAGACATTCACACACACACACACACACACACACACACACACACACACACACACACACACACACACACACACACACACACACACACACACACACACACACACACACACACACACACACACACACACACACACACACACACACACACACGTCTAGGCTCAATTTGTATGCGACCCAGTTTCTAGAGCCCAGTAGCATTGCATGCTTCACCTCACTGGTTCCCAGTTTCACGGCTATGTCACAATTTCTCATCTCAAGGCTGTAGAAGTGGACAGGTTATGGGACCTGAGAGAGAAGTAGAGAAGAAGGAGGAGGAATAAATGTGTCAAGGCATACCATGAGGGAAGGTGAAGAAGAGGGAAATACAGAATATAGGAGAGTGTATGTGTGTGTGTGTGTGTGTGTGAGAGAGCAGATGAAGTGGAAGAATTGAAGGGGAGGGCATAACGGATGACAAACAAATCTAGACATGTTTCCCCCTCCCCTCCCGGTCCACCACAGACAGACTGATTTGCATAAAGGGCCGCAGGGCTTTTGACTGACAGGGCTCCAGACGGCACTGCGCTGCTGCTGCTTCCACTTTAAGTGGGCTGGTGTGGGGCACCGGGGGGGAGGAGTCAGCATGGACAGAAGCCCTCCCCCTCTCCAACTCCAACCCCTGCTCTCTAATTGAGATATATACTAACTCCGTCCTATATGGTGTGCTGGAGAGAGGAAAAAGAAGGAGAGAGGAAGAGAAAAAGAGTTGGGGGTGGAGGGGTGGAAGAAACACTCACAAGGAAGTGATTTGTGGTCGTGATGACACCTTGTGTGTCGCTGGTGCCTGTACATTGCTGCGGCACTTAAAATGCTCCACAGCAGGGCTGCATGGTCGTGTTGACATGAGGAGAAAGAGGAATATCTGCTTGATTTACACAGATCTAGTGGCTATGTTTGTGTGAATCCTTTCTGAACTGAAATACATTTGTGTATATTCGGAAACATGTAGATTTAAGTTCATTTTCCCACACTTGCAGCAATAAAGATGTAAGCATGTACAGTGCCACATTGCTGCAAAATTTCTGACACCTTACAATGGGTTAAAAAACATTTGTCGGGAAGCTCTAGAAAGATGTTTAGGTAGTGATGTTCCATTTATATTAACATTAACCATTGAAAATTAAAGACGTGACATTATTTGACAATGAAAAAATGCACTAATAGTAGAAAGGAAAGAAATAACCAGACCTCTCTCAAATTTGTTCCTCAATAAGCCTACCTCATAATGTAACATGCAAACCAGACAATTGTATATGTCTTATGTGCTTGCTATGTTGTTTCTCTCAGTGCAAAACTGCACAAAATCTTTCAGTGTGAGTGAATGTAATCTAACGTCTCATGAAATCTGTATCTAGAATGTCTAGAAGTTGACGCAGTCCTGCTTAAATCCATTAGATCTACAGATGCATTCAAGTCAGTTGATTTTCTGTATTTTGTTGCATTTGCTCTTCTGGTTTGTGCTGCATTTTGAGTTGGTGGACATATAGGGTCATACCTTTTTTTAAGACCCTATTCAAACCTTATTGTGAAAATCATCTGTGATAAAAGTGTTGTCATTAAAAAATGACATCAGGTCTCTGTAATGAGTAATCAGTTTGTCAATGAAGTTCAGAGGTCTGCATCAATCAGAGATTCATTTATAATGCTTTTTAAAATGACAGTTCAGTTCCTGAATTTGAATTAAATTTGAGTTGTTGTACCAAACAGGATGCATCATTGCCATTTTAATTTAAGGAAGTAGAATTAAAATGAGAAATTCATATAGGCTAATTACAATGAGTGTAATTTGTAAGTTTAAGTTTGCAGATTTTATAGGCCTTATATAGATTTGTTTGAAATGTCACTTAGAAATTTGTACTTGATTTATGTACTACTTTATATTTCATCCACTTATTTTCATTTTAAGGAACAATGTGGAAGAACACTACCAGAATGCCATTAGACTTTGAATTCAGCAAATTCCATTTTCTTGTCGTTTCACTTAAAAGGAGCCAATTATTTAACCCTATATTCTTAATATATTTCTGAACTAATGTAGCCAAAGGATGCTGCATTTATATTTACACAATATATTTATTTATTTATATATTTATAAATTTTTTTTTAAACAAGTATGTTGCATTATAGCATTTACATGTAATATAGAGTGAGATTATCAATTTACATCAATCTGGGAACAGCTGTTTAAGGCTGAGTGGATTAGAAGTCATATATTGACTACTAAGCGGTAATTCATTTAGAGTGTCTGATACCCTGATAACCAGACTAGTTAAGGTGATGAACTTTTGTCACTGAGCACCACAATTGCCCATACAACATATGCAACTTGTCCAAATCATTTTCTGTGAATTAGACTTGCAATGTGCACTTCCTCTGGGATGTGTACAGATTACATTATAATCACATTTGGACCACAGCCAACAGTATTTTTCGATTTTATTCCTAAATGTTTTTTATCAGTGTCTGTGAAGCAATATCAAACAGATGGCATTCTATATGCTGTATACAAATTATTTTGTGCAAGTTTAGAATAGTGAGCAATTCTCTGTGAAATTACCCTGATAAATAGTCTAGAATTGCTGCAACCAGCAGGCCGCTAGTTGAAGTGCAACAACAAATTGTTCTAATTATTCCAGGTGAAGTCCTCCCCTTTTTATACCTGTAAAGCTTTGTTTTTAGCCTCAATGCGAATTCTGTGGAAAAATGTTTTGCTGTATTTCATTCAATTCAATTCACATTTATTTGTATAGTGCTTTTCACAATACAAATAATTTCAAATTTTTAATTTCAAAAATGCATGAGTCCACATTACAATTTAGAGTGACCTGTTATCAGAGGTAACGGTCTAAGTTATGTATTTCAAATCACAGTTAGCTAAAAAATTACTAATTTAAACACTGTAATAATTTAAGGCAGAAACAATGAAGTAATGAATAGGCCTACTTGTTTGTTAACAAATGATTATGACATATAGAAAATTGTAGCATTGGTGCAAGTTGATTCAGAGTTTGCTTCATCTGAAGTCCTCGCAAGAGTTTAGTTGGCGCTCTCTCTTCACAGGGGCATCTGAAGTCTTCATAATAGGCTTGATCCAAACTGGAGCTGACGTACTCTCTAGTTACCTCAGGATGGGCATCCCGAGATAAAACAGAGAAGCAAATAGAAAATAATTAGCATAGCTGCTGTTCATAACATTAAGCAAAGATAATCATGTGCATTCAATCTGATATAACTGGAGTATAAGGTTATGATATGCATTATATGAATGCTTGGCTAAAGAAATGTGTCTTTAATCTAGATTTAAACTGGGAGAGCGAGTCTGAGCCCTGCACATTATCAGGAAGGCTATTCCAGAGTTTAGGAGCCAAATGTGGCATGTTCCGGAGCTTAGCGATGTTTCTGAGGTGGAAACAGGCTGTTTTTGTTCGGAAGAAAAAGTTGCTGTCCAATATAACTCCCAGGTCTTTACCTGTAGAGGATGAAATAACAGTACGCCCTTCTAGATGCAAATTGTATTGTACAGGTTTTTGGTCCAATAAGTAATACCTCAGTCTTAGCTGAATTTAATAGAAGAAAATTACAGGTCATCCAATATTTGATATCTTTAAGACACTCAGCATAACAATGAAAACGAATTCCATGTTTTCTTATAATATTACCAGGTGGCAGCATATATATTGAAAATAGCAGAGGGCCTAACACAGATTCTTGCGGCACTCCACAATTTACTGACATTATCTTAGATTTTGAACAGGAGAGATTATCAGTAAATGTCCTAAAGCAACGTCAGCCATGACAGTGCACTGGGACATGAAGTGATTCTGATAGTCTGAGTGGAGTCATCTTTGACTTCTCCTGCATATCCTCCTAAACAAAACTGGTCCTGTCACTTTTTTTCCAGGGAACATCTTAAGAAAATTGAAAAGGAGTAGAAAAGTGTT